ACTTGCTTAATCTCTAGTCATTTATAGGATAGCCCCGTGCAATAGTCATACATATAATTCTATATTTAATTAATTAATTTACTATTTACAATTTTAATTTTAATTATTTACATAATTAGTGCATCTAGTCATATACACTTTCACCTTTCAATAGTACCTGTATATATTTTCCTGGTGACTGTATTTTACTCTTATATCTTGCTGACAGCGGCGTTATTTACCTATTTATTTATTTGTTCACCTATTTATTGATCTGTATACACATTTGGAGTGAATCCGAGTTAGGGAGCACAGCAGTGGTTCGCGAATTTTGATGAATGAATTTTATATTTTTTCCATACAGAATATTCCGCTGAAAAAACTTTATTACCACGTAAATATGTACTTGTAACAATAAAATATATATGAAAAATGTTAGAAATTGAAAATTTCGCGAAAAAAACGGTTTCCATAAATAAATTTTAAAAAATACATTAATTTTTCGGATAAAAAAAAAGTTGCAACAACCGAGAATCGAACCCGCTACCTCGGGCTCGTGAAGCAAGCACGCTACCGCCTGAGCTGCCGGACCACTTGAAGAGCGGGATAACTTTTCCGTATGTAAGGTGCTCGAAAACTTTGAACCCTTTTTTCTCGAAACTGGCTGATCATTGCGCCCTAATATTTAAGTATATTAACACCCTAAGGGTAAACTACCACCACACGAAGCCTCGTTCCGAACTTCATTTCCCAGAGCGTAGTCTCCCCTTGTCAGACTAGAAAACTGATTCCTGAGGGGACCCCGGACAAGGACGCACTTGTACTGCTGTCCGTAAACATGTAAATAATTAAAACTAATTTTGGTACTTGGCCAGGAAGAGTCCACGCCTTCGCGGCAGCTGCTGCTGGTGGTCTGCTGCTGCTGCTGCGCAGCGTGGTGCTCCTTGTGGCGACCGTACCGCGGGCCCCGGCTGTCAGGGGGCTGATCCTTGACGCCGCAGTAACGGCCGCGAAGGAGAGGGATCCGGCCCGGGTGGTGATGGGTGGCGGTGGTGTAGTCGTTGGGAGGCCGTGGGGCGCCAGGATGGCCGCGAAGCGCCACCCCGACTCGTCGACGGTCCGTCCGAAAGCGTCGGTGGGCACTCCTGTCGCGCGCGGGCGACTGCACCGGAGGCGTTCTCGTGCCAAGAGCTTGCGCCGGCTCTGTCCGGGGAACTGAGTGCCAGCAGTCGTAATGTATAGCCACATCTTTTTTGGGTTTTACCCCGGTACTGGCCGGATCTCTCTTCCGAGGACGGAAGAGACTGGAGGAAACACGGTGGGTGCTGGCGTCAATTTTAGCGTCGTCCATCCGAGTGCTCCCGTTAATGTCCGCGGAGTTATGGGCCGTCCACGCACCCGCGAGACCCGCGTACAGACCTCCAGGGAGAACGCGGCACATAATCTGCGTTGCGGGGCGGGCCTCTTTGAACTGTAAATTTTTCCCTGCGTTGGCCCGCCCCCGCCGTGTCTGAATGTCGCGTATTACCTACGAGTATGAGTGTCGCGTCTATTGTATGTTTTTGTCTTTTTAAATCGCCTGACTGCGTAATTTTTATTTTTATTACATAATATGTTACATAATAATATAAGAGTAACTTCGATTGTGCACACTCGGCGAAAAGGAAATATTTTTGCCTCGCGAATTTACAAATGTAAAACGATATTTTAATCTTTGTAGGCTCGGCAGGACAGAAATCGTCAGACTAATTAATGTTAAGCGTTAACCAATCCGTATAAAGACGGCCTATCAAGGACATGCGAATTAACCGTTCTTAATTCAATATTTGTTGAACGGGCGTGCAAACATAAGTCTGCAGAAATTATACCATTTTTTTACATGTGGGATTATATTTCGCGAACTGAATAAATTATCTTCCCGGCGCCACAATTGTGGTTGAGAAACTAAACAAACAGCAGGTTTGCTGTGAACGAGCGATCACGTTACTTTGCAAAATTATTCATTCTCTTAACGGAATCTAACAATTATAGTAATATTTCATAGTCGTTTATTACATAACATTTGAAGATGAAGAAAATTAATCGCAAAAACAATAGAAATGATAATAAATAATAATAAAAATGTAATATATTGTGTTTGCTAATTGTGAGTTTGTTTTGTGTAAGTAAACTCCATGCGTCCACCCAGGTCCAAAAATCAGTTTAATATTCTGAATACTACAATTTTATTAATATTCTGAGCCCCCTATGGGGACTGTATCAGATATTAAGCTGATAAGAACAGATTAATGCCTTTTATTTTTAATTAATTGCCCCAGGAGGACAAGTCCCTCCGGGGTACAGGTACAATATTTGCGGCATTAACGCCGCGCGCCATCTTAAATAGTATATTGCCGGGGGACAATAGGCCCCCCCCGGCTTGTGGGCACTACAACTAATGCGGCACAGCTCCCCACACTCGCTCGCAGGTACATGATAAAATATTGCCCCCGTTGATAGACAGGACGCGCAGGTGCCTCGTTCTCCCCGGAGGCCTGTACGCGGGTCCCACGGGAGCGTGGATGGCCCATTACTCCGCGAACATTTACGGGAGCACTCGGGTGTGCGACGCTAGAAATGACGTCAGCACCTACCGAGTCTCCTCCAGTCTCTTCCGTCCTCGGAAGAGAGATCCGGCTCCGCACAACCGCCGGCCTCAATGTTGGAGAAGGCTGCCCCTCCGCGGATGGTGTTCGAGGCAGCTCGGAATAATTTGCCGGCGTTAAAGGCGGCGGCGGGGGCGACGCGCGCGCAACCGTCGCCGCGACCGGTGTCTCGCTACCGGGCGAACCGCCGCTCAAGAGCCGCCGCGCCGCCGCTTCGCCCTTCTCCCCGGGCGCACTGTCCTTCACGGGCCTCCCATGTCCTCTCCCTCGCTGTCCGATGAGAGGAGCACCACGCTGATGTCCTCTGGCCGCCGCTCGATGGCCCTCGCCGGCATTGTTGTCGAGGTGTATGGACTCCTCCTGGTCTCCACTACGACGGGTGAGAGCCCTCCGGTGGATTGAGGACTTTATGATGTCCTCTGCGGGGGGGGGGAACATTCCCCCCGGCGGTGTAGGCAGCCCCGTTGATATGATGGGGTTGCGACACACCGTTGTCGTCACCACCTTAGGCTGCGGTGGTGTCCTCTCTGGTGGCCCGCCGGGTCTCTTCGCCTGACTCCTCGTGGTGACCCGGCGGGAGGGTGGTGCTTCCCCGATCGGTGACAGTCGGGGCGGCGTGGTCCGCTGACGCGTTCCCGTCTTCACGGCCGGTACGCTCGTAGATCGTGTCATCCTTCTATTCTCTCCCCCCCTACTGGTGGACGGTCCCCCCGTCGCCTGGGTTGACGGGGGAGGGGGGGTGTTGCGCACCGGCCTGGAGGGAATCTCCCTCGGCATCGAGGTCGACGCGCGCGTTGCCCGACGCGTGGCTCCGGCCCCAGTGCCGGAAGCCGCGGGTGGTGGTGGAGCGGCGGGCAACTTGCGCCTTAGGCTTAAAATTCGCCTATTCCTCTCCGCCGTCTCCTCGGTGTATGCCGGTGGTGATGGCGTTGGGCGGAGAGGAGCGCGCGTCGACCTGGTCAGCGGACCATTGGAGGCTGGCACTTGGCCAGGAGGAGTCCGCGTCCTCGCGGCGGCTGCTCCTGCTGCTGCTGATGGTCGGCTGCTGCTGCTGGGCAGCGCGGTGCTCCCCGTGGCGACCGTACCGCGAGCCCCGGCTGTCAGGGGGCTAATCCTTGACGCCGCAGTAACGGCCGCGAAGGAGGGGGATCCGGCCCTGGTGGTGATGGGTGGCGGTGGCGGTGACGTTGGGGAGGCCGTGGGGCGCCCGGGTGGCCGCGAAGCGCGGCCCCGGCTCGTCGACAGCGCGCCCGCCAGCGTCAGCTGTCTCAGCGCGCGCGTCCTCCCCGCTCGCGCGCCTGTGCCGTCGGTGGCACTCCTGCCGCGCGCGGGCGACTGCACCGGAGGCGTTCTCGTGCCGGAAGTCTGTGCCGGCTCTGTCCGGGGGACCGAGTGCCGGCGGTCGTAATGGATGGCAACGTCTTTTTTGGGGTACCGGGTCTTGCCCCGGTACTCACACACCGAGCACTCGTATACAATCGTGTCCCCCGGGTGCATTTTATTTAGATGTTTAACGAGGTGAGCCGGATCACAAAACTCCCCTCGCGTGTGCTCGTATTCGTCCCCGCCTTTGTAGCAGCGCGGGCACTGCACTCGATTTGGAAGCGGGTAGGCGAGGACGATTACGCGTGGCCCTTCCATGTTACTCTATGTGTATATAAATTGAAACAAAAGGTGGCACTATGAGGATTTTAGAAAAGAGAGAATTTAAGAAGGAAGATATAGAAGAAAGAAAATAGAGAGAAATTAAAGTTGATTATAGAACCCTGCGATTTGGTATTAAGTATTTTAATTTATTTTAGTACCACCTTATTTTAATTATTTATTTGTATTTATTGTTCTTATTATCTTGATGTTATTTATTTTATAAGGGCCACGCGCGCGATAGCTGAGTGTTCTTGTGGGCGCTCGATTCGCAATGCAGGTACTGTGTAAATGTGTATATACTGACTAGGTAGCCGAAATAAATTACGCGAAAAATAGATACTTAAATAGACGAATAAATAATTAATTGATTACGTGACATGAAATACTATATATGTACAATTACGTTTCACGAGATAGGTAAGTATATACAACTGGTAAATAAATAAATAAATAAATAGATATATGTATAAATAAATAAATAAATACCGTCGCTGTCAATAGTAAATAATTATTAAAATAATTATATGCAGAGTCACCAGGGATATGTACAATACGCAGGTACTATGTAAAATGTATAAGTATAAGACTAGATCTGCTAATATTGTACTGGGTATATAGTTTTAAATTAAAATTAGAGTTAGAATTAGTATTAAAATTAAAACTGTAAAAATTGTAAAAATAAATATGTAAATAATAAATAAATAAATAACTATATGTATTATCACAGTCTAAGAGACTGGTGACTCTGCACATGCCCGACGACACAGATACTACGGACGGATAGACTGACTTATGTAAAAAATTTTCTAAGTATTTAATTAAAGTTGAAATTGCGAATCAAACGCTCCCGAAAATTGCGGTCAAAATTGACCAGCGGTCCGCCTTTTAATTTTTCGGGTGGAACTTGACCGCGGATCGGCCGCTGGTCAACGGTCTAAGGCTGCCCGTTCAGCCTTAGCCGTTCGAGCGGAGGAACACTCCCGGAGCTATCGATCGAACACTCCGCGAGCCACTGCTGTGCTCCCTAACTCGGATACACTCGTACAGCAGTGGGGCACTTACCTCGAATTTTGGCTAAGTCCCGCGATCGATGATGGGACTTAGCCGCAGAACGGCTCCGGTGCTGGCTGCGGTACCTTTGGTATACGGTCGCTCCTCGGGGTCCCGCGAAGATTCACTCTCGAAACTGGCACAAGTCACAATTTAAAATAAACTCACTACTAACTATTCCGCATCTCTCTGAGCTAAGTCATTTCGATGAAAATTTTATAAGTCCCGCTGCATGCTTTAGAGTCCCGGAGACACGACGCGTATTAACCGCGCGGCGCTCCGGGGCTCGGGACTCAGAATAGAAAACTGACTATGGACTTTTAGCTGGGTAGAACGCACTCGTGCTGCCGTCTGTTGTAATAATTTAATATTAGTAACAGATTACCAGGCCAGACTCAGCGGTACTGCAGTGCCGAGCCGACCCGCGGCAGAGTCGGAGTCAACTCCGTGCGCCCACCCAGGTCCAAAAATCAGTTTAATATTCTGAGCCCTCTATGGGGACTGTAGCAGATATTAAGCTGATAAGAACAGATTAATGCGCTTTTATTTGCAGCTAATTTCCCCCAAGGTACATGTACAAAAATAGCGGCATTAGGCCGCGCGCCAACTTAAATAATATATAGGGGGGGACAATGAGCCCCCCCCCCGGCTTGTAGGTACTATTAATAATTGTGGTGTGGGAGGCACAGCCCCCCACACTCACGAGCAGGTACGTCATATTTAGTTGCCCCCGCTGTTAGACGGGGGTAATTATATCACAGGTAATAGTGCCACTCCCAGTGTGGACAATCACAAACATGTAAATAAATAAATAAATAAATAAATAACAGAAATACGCAGGAGTCAGAAAAAATAAAAATACTGGGAGTGCACGCGCGGCAAAAATTAATATAATAAAATTAACACGTAGTCGGGCGATTAAAATTGACAAGACATACATCAACGCAGTATTCACACTCGAGAAAAATACGCGGCATTCAAACACACGGCGGGGGCGGGCCGACGCAGGGAAGATATTACAATTTAGAAAGGCCCGCCCCGCAACGCAAATTATGTAACAAACATACTTAACGTTCGCGAGGCACCGCAATCATCGCCGCGCAACGCTTCAGGCCAACGCCGGCGAATAGCTTGCGGCGGCTCGGCCAGGCTCCCGTCCTCAGGAGGAGGTGGAGGAGCTCCGTACTGGCGTACGCCGCTCACGTGCTCCACGTAGATGTTACTCGACCAGCGAATGGTATCCGAAACCATGAGGCGGCGCATCATCCCTGCATAGCGTTTAGAAACGCGCAGGAGATCGAGCACCCCCTTATTGGCAGGATCCTATACGAGCCGAGGGCGCCCACATTTGCTGGACGAGGGAGATTTAGTGCACTGAAAAAAAAATTTATTAAAACCAAAAAAATTATACTTGATTTAAAAAAAGCATTTATTTCAATACTCCTAACCAAATATTTGTTTAAAGGAAATAAATATTTTCATTGATTTAAAAAAATATTCTTTAATTTCGAAAAATTATAAACATAAAGAAAAAACCTAGCAGTTTAATCTCAAAAAACAAAAATTGAAATTAAAAAAACATTTACTTCAATTAAAAAAAGTTTATTAAACTTAAAAAAAGGATGTTTAGAATTTACAAAATGTGCAATTTAAATTAAACAAATATTTTTTAAAAGTAAAAATGTATTTTTAAAAGTGTTATATTCAAATAAATGATTTATTTAAATATAAATAATCAAATAAATGATTTATTTGAATATAACACTTTCAAAAATAAATTTTTTTGAATTTTAATTGAAAAAAATTAAAGTGTCCGTGTGCGCACAGACACGGTTGCTCGCTTGTGTGCGTCATCCCCTCCCTATGCGACCGTGCTACCAAAGGCCACTCTCGGACAGCACTGGTCATATCGGCTCGCCTCTTATACTAATACGAGATGATTTTTCCTTACGAGAAAGGCTAACGCGCTGTCGCCACGTCGCGGCAGTGAGTGGTACTAGTACTGGTACTGTACTATACTATTCTGAAAATATATGTTCAGGACATTAAACAAATAAATAAATACCTTTATTTGAATAAATGATTTATTTTAATTTAAAAATAGTTTATTTGCCTTTTACTTATGTTTAAAACAAACAAATATTTATTTAAATAAAATTTTTATATTTAAAGAAATTAATTTATTTATGTTAAAGATATCACTTTTCATGTTACGTTTAAAATTAAAAAAATATTTTTTTAAATCAAAATACTCATGATGTTAAAAAATTATATTATATATTTAAGAACATATTTTTTGAATTTGAAAAACGTTTTCTTGAATCTACAAATATTTCTTTAAATTTAGGAAACTAAATTCAAAGAAATATATTTTCTTGATTTAAGTAAATTTTTTTTTCAGTGTTTTTCTGAGTATCGATAATGTAATTTTTTCCTAAGACAAAAGCGTGAAAACTGAAAAATTTCTGTACTCTGATTGCAAAAAATTAACAATTCATCATGGTTAATTTAAAAAAGTTAACTAATCAGGACACAGAAAGTTTTCATTTTGTACGTGTTTGCCTTAGGAAAATTTACATGATAGAACAAAAATGAAAAATATATTTAAATGTGCTAATAATAAAACTTTGTTGAAAATGTTATATATAATGTAAATAAAATGACAAAAGTAAGTAAAATAAATATTACTATTAACGTTATTGCAATGTTTATATGATATTACATTGATATTGACATTAACTTCGTTTTATTATTGCTTTAATGTTATGAGAAAAATTATTATAATATTTTAAAAGCGTAAATGCAATATTATTTACAACAACATGACATTTGTTATTTCAACATTACCGAAACCTCCAAATCTGTGTCAAAGTATGTTCATAATGATATTGCACGCAACATTAAAAACTACATACTTTAAAACATTACTATGTTAGTGAATAACGTTATAATAACATTGTAACAATGATTTTCTGTTTACTGGGATTACTTTGCGACTTACTGTCGCTTAATATGTAAAATATAAATTGATAATATATGAAGCAAACTAACGAGAAGAATAAAAGAGATTTCAATATTTTATACGTATAATACACGTTGAAACTGTTAAATTTGTTGTGTGTTAAAATTAGTAGAATAGACCACATTAGATTAGCTTACAAAAATATATCACGTCCCTTTACAGATTATAATAATTACGAAATTTGACTATTAGTCTTAATCACATTGTAGCAAATTCTTTTCTTTTCTAAAAATTAAACATTTCAACGCTACATTGAGCTTTAACTTTTCCGTCAACAGTATATCTATTAATTTAATTGATCATGCTGGTAAAGCCTCAAGATTCTGAAGGAACACATTTGTGTATTAAATGAAATATATATATATACTGTATGTGAAAGGCAGTTTTCAGAACTTGTCCGACTATAGCATGGTATTCGTCAAAGTTTTTCATAATATAACGTCACCGTTTCGAATAATTGTGCGTATAGTATGGTTTCTCAGTAGCATACGAATGTTTTATTACGCACAATAATTCCAAACAGAAAACGGGCGCGTTATATTATCAAAAACTTTGATGAATGCCATGTAGTAGGATAGGTCCTGGAAACTGCCATTTCGTAAATAGTGTAAATGTACATATACATTTGATATAATGTACCTTATATATAATATTATCTGTTTTGGTACTAAGTATGTATAATATTACTTTTTTCATGTCTTAAGGCTGATATTACTTTTGTCATACAATAATTATATCAGCCTAATGACGTCATGTTTTTTATATTACGAATAAAAATGTGTTCCGACATTGCGAACAAGTAGTACGGTATTTTGTTTAACTTAATAAAGCTTTATTTATCTACAAAATTTTGTTTAATTTTGTTATAATATCAATGTATAGTGTTAAATTCAGTTGTAAGTAAGATTATCCGCATTTGTAG